CTTCAGGGAGGCCTCTTTCCTAGTTTGTTGAATTTAGCTGCTCTAGGTAAAGAACAGTATAAAAGTCTGATCTCAGCTCAAGTTTACTGAGTCTGACAAATCATATTTCATTTGGAGGAATCTGCTACCCACTTGGAAAGGGAGTTATTAGTCACTTTGCAATGAGCACTCTTGACTTTTGAGAGTTATTTCAATAAAAATATTTTACACTATATGATCCCAACTACAAACAGAAAAGAGCAAAACACAAATGTCCTCAAATCTTGCAATTCTTAAGGGCTGTTTTATATGCCACGGGCAGAAAGCATGATGCTGTTTAATGAAGTGATTTCATAACCAGGAGAAGACAGCCTCACACGCTAACTGTCACATGCTGACGCCCTCAGCATCTCTCATGGTTTTTTCAGACCCATTTTCCTCTTGAAGAACCAGGTGAAGGGTGTCACTTGGGTTCAGCCATTTCAACACTCAAGGTTGTCTTATTGCTTTGTTTTTTTTTTTGAGTTTGGGATACTTTTATTTCTTTGTGTCTGGGGTGGATTTTTTTTTTTTTATTGGTTGCTCAAGACAATACAATGATCTTGACATATCATACATTTGATTCAAATGGGGTATGAATTCTTATTTTTCCATGTGTACAGATTGCAGGATCACTTATTTCTATAAGCTCAGACATGAGAACTACTGCCCTCAAAGTCGAAAGTGGCTGTGATCTATTACTTTACCCCAAAGTCCCTGGGCTCCTTGGAAGGAGAACCCCAACATCACATGTTATACCATATACACTGCTTTTTCCAGATCTTCTAGATAGAATGGGTCATTAGTAGATGCTTATTGAAGCACTTAAAATAAAAGATGCCAAATTCATTAGAACAAGGCACAGGACTAAATATAAGAATCGAGATTATGCCATTTAGTCTTTAGCTCTTCATTTCCATGTCATCAGACCTGTTTTAAAATCATGTTTCTTCAGACAAGCTACTGTTGGATGGCTCTTGGGTTTGGATGTGAAAAAAAGAATTTTTCTCTCTGATTTCTAACGTCCTGCAGTTATTTGGGTTATTACATGGAAGTGCTCTTTGGAAAAGTATTTGAAATCCAGCAGCGCCCAAAAGAAAGCAGAGCTACAGATTTCTCAGTCTCCCTCCTGTGTTTTTTCGAGCTTTACATCTTAAATGTAAAATTTCACTTGAGAGTTTCATATAAAAAACACTCTAAGATTTATTTGCTTTTTAATATTATGAAATTGCAACAGAAATTGGTTTGGCACTTTATACCTTGTACTCATGGAGTTTAAAGGGTTGAACACTCTTTAAAAATACTTACCCAGATTAAATATTTCTAAAATAACGTCATGGGATAAGCAAGACAATGTATTATAATTTTGTGCTGCAGTAATTGTTTCTGGAGTTCTTATTTTAATTTTTTTTTGACATAGTACTCAGATGCATTTTTTGAAAACAAAATCTATCAAGAATATTCTCTTCCTTCTTTCCCCACTTCTGCATAATTGTGCTAATATATTAGCTAGGGCAGTTATGTTTTAAATGGCATGTATATATTTAGAAGTATAATTATGCAAATTCTACCATGTTTATGATTGTAAATATCCTTTGGGAGCAGTTACTTAGCATCTAGTCCTGAAACAATTTTTCAAGAATTCTGGTTGAAATGCTCAGAATTCACTCCTGAATTCATTTCTTGCTGTGTGAAGGTGGGGCTCATAGTTCTCAGTCCCAAGAAAGAATACTACACAGTGATAAAAAGTACAGATTCTTGGACATTTTATGCCACTTACTGGCTTTGTGACCTTGGACAAGCTACTTAAGCTGTCTGAGCCTCAGCTTCCCCATCTGTAAAGGAGGGGTGCTGCTAGTGGGTTCTCATGACAAGTACATCTCCTGATGTGTGCAAACTACTTACATAGGCTTGGCTCATAAAAAAGGTAAAATAAATGATAGCTGCCATCAATAGCTATAAAACACCCAGCAACCCTGCATTTCAGCCTAATCAACGAGCTGTTGAAGAGTTCACTGTCAGATTCAGAGGGGTAGCTAGAAAGAAGGAAATGTGGTACAAATCCCACACTTTTCCTTTGTCCCACCTTCTTACCTGTTCCGGAAGTAGTGTGTAGGGGGGTGGGGAGACTGAGAACAAAAGTTCTAGAGTTGAGTTCTTTTGACAAGAAAGTCACTATTTACTCTTGGCACCTGTCTGGCTGAGTTGGGGCAGAGGTTAGTCTTCTACTAACAGCAGCTGTTAATCCAGAGGGTGTTTGAGTGTCTGCATGTATGTCTGTACCTGTGTCTAAGTGCTGTATATCTGTGTGTGTTTGTGTGTCTGTTTGCATCTGTGTGGTGTATGTATCTGTGTGTAGGTCTGTGTATCTTTGTGGGTCTGTATGTCTATGTGGTGTAAATATGTATCTGTGAGTGTTTATCTGTACATGTGTATGCCTATGGTGCGTGTTATATGTGTGTGTCTACGTGTGTGTGTGTGTGTGTGTGTGTATGTGTCTGTGGGTATCTGTATGTTTCTCTCTGTGTATACATATGTGTTTGTGCATGTAGGTGTGTCTACGTATTCTGTCCACGGGCTTGTGTATGGGTGTGTTTATGTATATGTGTGTGTCTGTGTAGGGCTATTAGAGAGAACAGTCTTGCACAAACACCCCAATTCTACCCTTTGGAGCTAAGTTCACTAACAGGTGAGGAGTCACCTAGCCAGATGTGTTCTGTGCCATTTCACATTTTGGGGAAGGGAAAATATGAAAATGTTAAATTATATTCATAATTACAGTCATATGTAAGAATATGATGATAATTATGACAGTACATTTTAGGTGAACATTAATCTTTTTTGGTCAATGTTTCTAATATTTTCTGATTTAGATGTATACTAATTTAGATTTTCTAAAAAGGTTTTCTATAAAACAGAAATACATAGAATCTTCTAAGATTTAGCAAAAATGTCTCTGAGGCAGGCAAATCCTTTTTAAAAAGAGAGTGGAGGTTCTAAAAGAATGCAGAGGTCACTGAAAGCTCATGTCCTTCCGTGCCTTGGTCAGGGAGCTGCATAGGGAAGACTCCTCAGGTCTGCAGAAGATTCGTGTTTGATTCCCTCCAATAACAAATCCCTGACAAACACAGCTCAGTGAAGCCCTGAAGTTGTTTACATGTGGTAACTACATGGATGACCCCCCACTAGGCACTGGGAAGAAGGCAAATACCACTGTTGGCCAAAATGTACCCAGAACCCAGAGGTGGACACAGTTTAACATGATCATGGTGGGATAGGGCTCTTGATCTTCTGATACTCTCAAGGTGGGCAGTGTGGGGAGGTGTCAGCATGGTGGGATGAGAGGGAGGACAGATCCTGGCTCTCAACATTATATCCAGAAGATGGATTCTTTTTATTATTTTCTGGACTAAATTCTTGTGGCTTTAAATTCCATCTTTTCGGTGATACACCATTCCTCAATCCATACCTCATAATCCACTGCAGGGGACACATCTGTTACCCTTTCTGCAAAGCACATAGCACAAGCTCCAAGCCCCATGACACGTCCTGGTAGATTCCTCTCCAGCTGTGACACTGGTCTGTTCCAGCCAGCCACTGCGGACATTCATTCCACCCCCTTCACCGTCTGTGATTATGAGAAGAGTCCCTATATTTGATTCTCAAAATTTTCAATTCCTAAGAACTATGAAAAGGAGAGAGTGAATACTATTTTCAAATCCTTAATATTTCTTAGTTCTACCTACAGCCAGTCACCACTGAGGTTTTTTAGCTGTGTGAGTTAGAATCTGTTGTTGCCTTAATGACCCCAAATGTTCATGTTCATTCTTGTTCCATTCTCCTGAAATCTGTCTCTTGTGAGATTCCTTATGACTGAACAAATAAGGAGGGCCAAGCTTTTCCTGATAAATTTTGCTAAAGGGGACAGGACTGTCTGATTTCTGTGTGAAAATATTGATGTAGACAGTTCACATTCCATTCACAAGTTTGGCCTTCTTTTTATAAGGTTATATAACAATAGTAAGTGATAATACCATTTTTAGTGAGGAACAGTGGTTCTAAGAAGGTTCTGAATGACTGAATATCTGATTCTTATTTTTTACATACCTTGTGAATTCACATATGATGACAAGATAAAATGCTTCACCTCTTTTGGCCTCAATTTCCTTGACTAGATTTTTATGAGTGTAAAATTATTATGTTGACTTCCTTCAACCCATTCAGGTTAGAGAAATTCCCTGTACCAAAATTTGCTTTTCTATTATTGCTTTATAAATTTTGGAGGGGTTTCAAAACATGAGAGGAAGGTTCTGCACTGGTAAATCATACCAATATATGCATATAAAAAGAAATTTAAATACCCAGAGTGCCTCATTCACAAGAAAAGTTTTGCTGATTTTAGCACCATTCCTGAGTGGATATTAAATCTAAACCATTCTATGTTCATGCAAATTCACATTTTAACATCCTACAAGACAGGCAATGACACATTCTTTCCATTTTCCAAAACCAGATGAGAAAACAAAATTGCATTCTAAAGGAAAAATAGAAATTGTCACTGCAAACAAACCACTCACTTCTTATTTTCTGCAGCAGATCAATCACTATGATCTCTTGATCTATTTCTCTGAATAGTTCTCTGCTAATCACAATTTTCTTCTATATGATTCAGATTTATACTAGTGATAATGCTGGCAAGACCACGGTCCAGAGACCTGATGACTGATGGTCCTTGTGGGCATACCTGTCCTCTTTACCATGGCTACTGTGTACCTCACAGGACCCCATTGATTCAGAAGCTCTTTGCAGAGAAGGCGGACCTTGGATGCTCCTCTGTGCCCTCAGTGGCACTCATAAAGCACAAGGCTGGAGCTTGGCATTTATTATTTGGTATTTGTTCTCTGGTTTGATTTCTGGAGAGCAGCCCTCCCTCAGCAATGCATGAGCACAGACCACCCGTGGCTACCCATCCCATGCCTTACCTGGTCTCTCTGTCTTTGGGGATTGTAGCAGTGCTGTAGGCAAAAACTTGCTTCTCAACTAGAGGAGGGCCAAGGTCCACAATGCCGGATAATCCTGGAGTGTTCCTGGGCTTTTCAAAATATACCAAGGTGCCTGGTTCCTTTTTAAAGGACTGACGACTTGGCGAGGCCAGGTCTGGCTGCATGGTGTGAGGGGGACCGTGAGCATTATGATGTGCGTGCATGTCTATCATCCTCAGGTCACTAACTCGGTGAGGAGAGGCGGGGGGTGTTTTAGAGCCCAGAGTGGGCAAATGGCTATCTGGATACTTCCTTGATTTCTGTCTGTACAGTGATTGTTCCATGTGCATTTCCGCTTGCATGGAGGGGTTACAATAAGCACTCGCTGACCGAATCGCTGTGCGGTGATATGCAATGATGTGATCAGGGACATCCAGGGGGTGCCCTCCATGGGATGAGGCTATGCTCATCCTTCCCTCATGATAGAGGTAAGGATCAGCATAGAAACCCTCGTTTCTGTACATCGTGATGTTTTTGCTGCTCATGTCTTCATCGGGCTTGACATCTCTTCTTTCTAAGATGGCGCTTGGGCTTGGTGAGATGGATCTGGAGACCGGCAGGCTGGAGAGTCTGTCCCGGGGGATGGTGGCATTGCCAGGAACAACCATGGGGCGAGTGCCGCCATAAGGAATTCTGGATGGGGAGGGAGGCATGGAATGAGGCACAGGAGTGGATGGTGGAGAACTGGGAATTGCGTGGGGTGGATGAGCTGTGGATCCAGGTCGAGAGGCACCAGGGCCATCTCCTCTTGCATAAACAATTTCTCTCTGCATCTGAAAAAATAAATAAAGGAATTAGAAAGTCTACTTTGAGATTTGTGTTTTTAGAGAGGTCTGAGTGTGATGCTGAGAATGGAGATTATCCAGGTATTCTCGCTGCAATTGCAAAGGTCTATATGTGCAAGAGGGAAGCAGGAGACTGCACATCAGGGGTGAGCTATGATGATGGAGGCAGAGTCAGACATAGAAAGACTAGAAGGTGCTACACTGCTGACTTGAAGACAGAAGGAGGCATGAGCAAAGAAACGTGCATAGCTTCCAGAAGCTGCAAAAGGTCAAGAAATGGATTGTCCCTTATATTTTCTAGAAAAAGGGTGGTCCTGCCCATAGGTTGATACTGGCCTGTGGAACTCATTTTGGAATTCTGACCTCTATGATATAATAAATGTGTGGTGTTTTAAGCTAGGATTTTTCCTCCCAGTGCTGGGGATTGAACCCAGAACCTCACACATGCTAGACAAGCATGATACCATTGAGCTACACCTGCAACCCGAGTGTCATCCAATTTTAAGTATTGTTATAGTGACCACAGTAAATGAATATACCTGACATAGAGCTCAATGCTGTTGGGCTTGGAGAGAAAATATTGCAGTGGTTTAAATTTTAAAATCATAGTTTCTTACAGACTCTAATAAATGTGGGTCTAATGTATCAATAGTTCTGAAATTGTTTTGTAAAACGTGTCCTGGACATGTTTTCCTACTGTTAGTCCTGGGAAACAGTAATCATCTCTTCTATCTTTCCAAGCTAATACAATCAACAAGACATGACTAGAGAGGCAAAGAAGATCCCTGGGGGAAGCTTGGGAGTTCCATTCATCCACCAAATCTTATTTGAGCTTACGAGAAACCAGACTGAGAAGTTGGGGGAGGGGATAATGATCCTGGAGAAAACAGTAAAATTATAGTCAAACTCATAATTGGGAAGCTGAGGAATCTTGACAGTACACCTTCTGAGGTGCCATGCGGTGTAAGGAACCTGCAGGCACAGCCTCGGTGACTAGGGCTTTGTGCGGTCACAGCCCAGTCTTCCGGGATGTGTTATTCCCTCCCAGTTCAGAAGCTGCCACAGAGTCTCCCACTGACTCTCCTGTAGAAAAGCAATAGCAGAAGGATGAAGTCAATGGGGAAAAGGGAAATGAATTTGTAATTTCAATTACGCTATTGTGTTTAGCAAGGGCCTGAATAAAAAAATTCAAACGATTCAGGATATGATTTTTGATACTGAAATTCTCTAATTGGCTACAAGGGACAGGACAGACAGCCTTGGCCCTTGCTTCAAGTCCTATTTGTGCCATCATGCAAGCCCACATTCCCTATCCTAACTTCCAAGAGGTGTGATAGACAGGAAGAGTATAAATGGTTACAGAGGGGATGAGATAGTGGCATGAAGAGAGAGGGGAGCCCTTGAACAAACAAGAACCCAGATGTACTGACAAAAGATGAACGATTGGAAAAGCAGTAAGTAGATTACTCAGAAAATTTGGAATGGAATCACCAATTGATGGAACCACTGAATCACCTCAGTATATACCCCAAAGACTTAAAATGCAGCCACATCAATGATCATAGCAGGTCAATTCACAAGAGCTAAGCTATGGAACCAACCTAGCTGCCTTTGAACAGATGAATGAATAAAGAAAATGGGGTACATATACACAATGGAATATTCACCATAAAGAACGAAATTATGGCACTTGCCGGTAAATGGATGGAACTGGAGACTATCATGCTAAGTAAAATAAGCCAGTCCCCCCCAAACCAAAGGCCAAATATTCTCTCTGATATGTGGATGCTAACACACAATAAGGAGGGGGAAGAAGGGAAGAACAGAAGTTCACTGGATTAGACAAAGGGGAATGAAGAGAAAGGAGGGGGGTTGGGAATAGGAGAGACAGGAGAATGAATGAGACATCACTTTCTTATGCTCATATACGAATACATGACCAGTGTAACGCCACATCATGTACAACCACAAGAATGGGAAGTTATACTCCATGTCTGTGTGACACGTCCCAATACATTCTACTGTCATGTATTGCTAAAAAGAACAACAACACAAGACTAACAGTTGGCTGATGGGGGGAAAGAGTAGAAAAAACAAAGGCAACAAGAGGAACTTGAAAATGAAAGGGATCCCTCAGCCTTGAATACAAAGAAATCAATTCCTTATCACATGATTTCATTTGTTTAGTAAACAACATTTACCAAGCACTTAGGAAGAGCCATACATTATTGGAAAGTATAGTTCTGAACAAGCCCATAAGTTCCTGCCAGGGACAGGCTGAGTTCTTTTATACACATGGTAGAACACAGGCCAAGAACCAGTGGGTCCTCCACAGCTTCCGGACCCTGGGAGAATTTAGCAATGCAGAACCCTTGATGGGACCAGGAAGTTCCACCTGTTATAGTGGATTTCATATAAAAAGTCACTGATTATAAGTACACACGAGGTACAAATAGGTAGCAACAAATTGAAGCCCGTTGAGTGTTCCGTTCCTGGGCATCAGCAAGCTGGCTTCTCAGCTCCCTTAGGGGCTGTTTCTGGGGACTGGTTCTGGTTAATTACTCCTCTCATGTCACACACTGAGTTCCTACCATCACAGGCCAGTCTGTTCTCCTGTGGTTGTTCGTATCCCTGGAATTCTGTTCATCTCCTCACCTGTGTGGATCCAGATCTAGGCTCAGGCTCCAGGTGCCCTGGGGCTCCAGCCCAAGCAATCCTTTCTCTGCTCACTTGACACCCTCATGACTCAGGTGTGCAGGGCCTTAGACCAGGATGGCCACTCCCAAGGTCACTGCGGGATAATATACCAGCATGGTTCTCGTTCCAGAACGGCTAGAGCCACCATGTGACAGGTTTTGTAGGAAGTCAGCACCCAGCCTCTATAAATGCCTCTCCCACTCAGTCTTCTACAATGTAGGATTCAATGAAAAGAAAGGGATGGCTCAGCAGGGTTTCAGAGGTCGTAAAATGTAAGAAGGACCGGCTTAGCCAGCAGTGAGATATCTGACTGGATTCTCTGAGCAGTCAAACCAAATAAAGCAATAATCAACCAAAATGAACATCAAGATAAATTCATCATATTGATTCAAACATGGCAACTTCCATAAAGCATCATATAGACCACACAGTGCCCAAGACAAGTTAATAACAAATGGCAACTTGTCATTATTGTCATTAATACCCCTGTGTCATGCTCCTGTCAGAGAGAGAGAGAGAGAGAGAGAGAGAGAGAGAAGAAGAAAATACCTCTCCCCTGCAAGACTCCAAATGTCTAGAACCCCTTTGGGTTGAACAATAGTTCTAACCAAGCTTGTCCCTGTTCTCTGTTCTCTTTTCTCTCTTTGTTCTGCTTTAGACAGCATCTTGGTTTGGGGAATTGTGACTCCAATTAACACCCAGTAGAAACTTTCTTCTTTCTGGCACAATACTAAAAAGAGCCATCTAGATTTCAGGAAGTATAAAACTGTCTAGGAGATAAATAATGTTAATAAAAGAAAACTGTAAAATTAATTTTAATTAATAAAAAGTTGAATATTTTTTTAAACAGCAGAGATATCTGTATGGGTATTTAAAAATGTGTTTGGGGATATGAAAAGAAATGGCGAGGCGTTGCATTTTATAAATGAAACATTAAAAAAATTCTCATTAGGAAAAAATTCATTAGACTTTCTGGTGACATATGTAGACATGATCAAAAAGAAATATAACAAGTAGTTAAGAATAACTCTGTGACACTGTGTTGTAAATTCATATGGGGAATGTGGGTGATAGTCAAAATATTTAACAGCCAATATCCAGTATAGCATGGGTGCCAATCAAGCTCAACGGAACTTTAGCTACTGAGGATGATCCTAGCCAACAGCAATTGGCATTGTGTACCTGGTGGTAATGCTGTGTATCAGCCCTGCCTGGTCCACTTCAAAATCATAATGCTATCATCCAACAGAGTCATGGAATAAGTCACTGAGCTACTGAGCTATCTACAGTGGAATCAAATATAAGCATTCAATTATGAAAGAACAGGTGATTGGAGCATCAATGTTTCTATCGATCAAGTGACTTAGAAGTTGGAAGTCTTTGACAGAATTTTCCTGTTGATTTGCCAAGTGATGACTGACTTTCCAAGACAGTTTTAAAAAGTGCCCTGTTAATTTCATCCTTGGCTCCAGAGCCCAAGAAGAGAATGACATGATTATCCCATTAAGTCATGGGAAATAGGTTTTAAGCCTACAACTAGAATAATCTCTGAAAATGAAATACCTTGGGTTCATACACTAAAAGGTATGGACCAAAGACAACTCACTCTTAAGGTGTGTCAAAGTACTGGAAGATGAGAAGAGAGAATCTTCTCCAGGTCTTCAATGTGATCTCCCAAGGAGGCCACTTGCTAGCCCATAAAAAGTGGACTTCCTTGACTCTGCAGACGTTTGTCTGATTGAAGCAGGTGATGAGTCAGAGTCTTATAATTCATAACTTAAAACAACCTCCGCCTTTCGGACTTGTGTTCTTCCCATGTCAATACTTCCTAGAGTGACACACCTATACAATTTTATTTCATTTTGTTTTTTTTAACTATCTGGCTATTTGGTAAAAACATGGCATTAAATACATATTGAGTTTTCCTGTTCTAGTACTCAAAGTTAGATCTCCTAGGAGAAAATTATATTAACCTTACAAGGTAAGAGCAACTAATAATAAATAAATAAATAAATAAACAAAGCACAAATACACACACAAGGCTGAAGATACATATGGAATTGCCATTCACCTTAATATATCTGAATTTATTCTGCCATCAGCCTCTCTTATGTCTGTGGTCTCTAGAAATCATCTCCTTGCTCTTAGTAAGTTAAAAAAGTCTCTGGCTATGTGGTATCCTTAATACTTTCTCCCCAGAAAATTTATGATATTTAAAGAATTTCATATCATAGCAAGAAAAAGATAACCTAAACACAAACATAATGATTCTTCTGAATTCAATACATATT